AGGCAGATCGAGTTTGTTTATTTTTTCTGATACACCCGCCCACTCCCTCGCAATTCGTATTTTTTTATAACTTCCGTAATTCTCGGAATTTTAAAATCAATTTTGGTAATTACATCCAGTTAGTACTAATGTGTCCGTGTGCCAAATTTCATGATAGGTCAATTGTGAAGAAAGTTATAGCCATAAGTAAAATCGCTGGTCATGCGCTGCCTGCAGCTCTGTCGGCATCGCTGCCCGCAGCTGTTGTTGTTGCTGCTTGGGTTCAACTTTGTGCTGCATACATACACGCATATAAACACGCATAGGTACGTGATGTAAATGTATGCTGTTTAAACTGAACATAAACATGTATTCTAATTTAATTTAATTAATTATTTTAATTAATTCATTCATTCATTTTTTTTAATAATTTAATTTTAAAGAATTTTTTTTTTTTTAATTTTTCCTTTTTGTGGAGAGTACAGGCTATTTTACTGTCGGGCTTGCTCGACTGTAGCGTTCTATCTTGTTTTTATTTTATTTTTTTAATTTTATTTAGAACATCTAATGTCGATTATATAATATAACTTAATATAACTATTTAAACTAAACTTAAAAGATAAGAAAGTCTAACAGAAAGCTGTACAATAACGTCTATTAATACCTCCGACACGTTGGGGGAATTTTATTTGCCAGTTGGCCAGCTATGCCCCGATTCACAGCCATATGTGGTCAGAGACATTATTGACCTAAAAAACTATAAAAAAGTAGATATAGGAGGAAAATTAATTCTATTTAAGAACTAATTAGAAAAAGTAAGAAGTAAAAAGAGAGAGAGGAAAAGAGAAAAAGATAGAAGGAAAGAGAGATAGAGAAACAGGGAAAGAGAAAGGTGGAAAGAGAGAGACGAAAAAAAAAGAGGGAAATCTCCAACCCGGTGGGGGACATTTTAAATACCAGTCCAGCAAGCTATGCCCCAACTCACAGCAGTAACTGGACATAGATTTCCCCGAAGATAATTATAAAGAATAATTTTGATAGAACAGAGAGAGAGAGAGTCCTGTCGGAAGTAAATGTGAAAGATCATTATAATGGCTGCACATGACCCGAAAACGAATGTGAAAAGCGTAATCAGTTGTGCATCTTGCCAATATGAACGGCAAATAATTCTTTGCTGGTCTACAAGGAACTGAAAAATTTACTTGTGAAGATAACCGATAACCAACTTGTGAAGAAAAACTACTCCAAGCACCGTCCTACGATTTACTTAGGAAGGAAGGTTTATAAGCATCAGTATACTAGAGTACGATGGCAAGCAAAGATTGGGATCCCAGCTCTTCAAGTAGTGTATTTGTCAGAATGGTAAGTTGTGCTTACTGCATCAACATGGTAACTTGGTCTGTACTTAGCGGTAGGAGGTAATGTGAACTGCTTAGTGAGCACGCAAGGTCAATGGGGGGGATAAATGTTGTCTTCATGTTTATAAGCTGCCAGTCAAACGCCTTGCTGTCAAATCCGTTCTGTTGTGCAATGTTCAGCGTGCTGTCTTGAATCAAGGCTTGCCCTCGGGCGCGTCTTTCATGCAATTTTTCTGCATCATATTCTAGATGATGGGCTTAGCCTTGGGTACAGTATACCTTGAGTCCCGTTCTTCAAATAGCCCGTTGGTAATGTTTCCATCGATCTCTTGTTCGGATCTGCTTTGCCTGCCTCCTTTTATAGGTGCTTTCGTGCTGGATGGAGTACACAAGCGACTTACATAAGTGGTCTTTTTGCGAAGTGTCCTTACATTCATTTCAATGCCTTGCTTGGCAATCTTCATATTTTGCCATAACGATTGCAGTTCATAGTAGCTAACGAATTTCCATTAGGACACTGCTGTGGCCATGGGTGCCCGTCCTTGACAATAAAGTCCAGGTACATTTGGAAGCTAAGTATCGTTGACGCTGGGATGCTCGGCTGACGCTAGTAGTATACCAACAGCTACCAACAGCATTACGATCCATCTTATGGGTGATCAACTGATTGGTGCGGTCCGTCTGACTCTCATGTTCTCATGCTTAGCAGGTTCATTATTGGTCGATTTCGGCATTGATTTGTCGGTTCTGATGACCGGTCAACGGCTCCTGGTAGAGCGATGTCCGGTTATGCTTCCTGTAGTACTGACCTGAATTTTCTGCTACTGTGACAGCCTGCCCTCATTGACCCTTGTCTTGGATGTTTCCCGATCATTTACTGGTCCCGACACAATCCATCCGAGTGCAGTACTTTGTAAGATGGGTTGGCCAATTACTAGTGGTAGGTGATAAAATTCGGTTCCAATCAACAAGTCAATTTCGGTTGACCGGTAGAACTTAGGATCAGCTAACTCTATTCCCATCGGAATCTGTACTTCATCAAGTCTGGTGATAGTCGTCGATGGTTGGTCGGGCACAATTGTGTTCAGAACCAGAGCATTTATTTGCATGTCATGCTTGCAATTTGCCGATGACACCTGCAGACTTACTTGTTTTGAAGCTGGTAGATTGCTGTATCCAATGCCCTGCAATGTAGTCTCTATTCGCTGTGGCCTGATCTTCAAGTGTGTCAATAGGCGACTGGATACAAAGTTGGCTTGGGATCCAGAATCCAGTAATCCTCGCACGATTTTGTGCTGACCATTGTGGGCTACTACTTTCACCTGTGCCGTGGCCAATAACACATATTGGATCTTAGTTCTGGAAATCGCTGGTTGGCTGAAGGCTGCTGCCGCCGTTATTCCGCTGTCCTTGTGTAGCAATGTATGATGCGGCTGCTGGCATCGGAAACATGGTGTGCTTGAACACTCCCGAGAGCTGCGCGTGGCGATGATGCATTTTGGGCATCGGTTAGTTTCTCGAATCCAGGCCCATCGTCGGTCCACGTGCTTTGCCTTGAACGTCACGCATTTGTATACTGTGTGCCCAGTCAGCATGCAGTAGCAGCAGCCTCTTTTAGACCTTAGCTCTCTGGTCAGTGCCGCTCCGATGGTGGTTTTGGCTGGTCGGTTGCTGGTTCTTGTTACCTCCAGCGCTCGGAAGCGACGGTTAAGAAAGTCCAGGAACGAACTAACAGCTTGCAATTCAGTTGAGTCCTTGGTTTCTTGCTCCACTAAGGCTAAATTTAATTTATCCAACTGTTTCCTTAGAATGTACAACAGCATGCTGTCCCATATGAGTTCGACTGGATCCAGGCCTACCTGCTTCAAAGCGCTAAGCGTTTTAGCGGTGGTGTCGTGGAGCAGCCGGATAGCATTGCTATCGTTTCTTGCTGAAGGCTGCTCCATTAACCTTTCCAATACGGCAGTGGTGATAGCCCGAGGGTTTTGATAGCGCTGCACTAATGTCTCCCAGGCCACTGAATAGTTTGAAGCTGTTTAAATAGTTGATGAGTTCAGCTGCCTCTCCCCTTACGCAGGATTTCAGATAGCACATCTTCTGTACGTCCGGTAGACCGGTCCTATGGATTTGTTCCTGGAACAGGTCGTTGAAGGCGGGCCAGTTTAGATAGCGGTGGAATTGTAATTTGTGGCAGCCGCACGGTGATGTCCGCAGGTTGTCTAGACGGCGTTCATGCTTGTGGCTCTTCTTTGCAAAGAAATTCATTCAGTAGACTTTGGGCCTCGAAGAAGCGTACGGAATCGAAGCCTTGGTACTCTGGGTTTTCCTTGTCGATGTTGAGCTGACGACGTATGTCCTGGATTTGGTTCCATGCTGCTAATACTATCTCCTGCCCTCTTGTCTGTGTCCTGCACCAGGAGCTCAAACGCTTTCAACTCATAGTTGAATAAGTTTACCTCGGGTGATTTAGGATTTGTAGTTTCTTTTTGCTGTGATTGTACAGCTTGTTTATTATACTCTGTACATGAAAAGTACAAGCGTATACTAGGTTTGCGGGAGGTGAAAAATGTAACAGACAGAAGGAGTGGCAGACCCCACAAAGTATGTATACTCTTGATTAGCGTGACAAGACGAGTCGATCTAGCCCTGTTCGTCTGTCTGTCCGTTTGAACACCTGGATCTCAGAGACTATAAGAGATAGAGACACCAAATTTTGCACAAAGATGGCTTATGTATGTACGCTGTGCAAGTTTGTTTTATTTTTTTGATTTTTCCCCCACTTTCCCCCTATGGGGGCTATCCCGATTTTCCATTCGTATAATCGCCTATATTTCGGACACTATAAGACCTAGGAGCACCGAATTATAGTCCCAGGTGCCTTATGTGAATACGCTGAAAATGTGTATTTTGGAAGCCTGGCAAGCCCGAGGACGAACCAGTATCGTAGCGGCCTATCAGTCGTTTACCTTCAATTTCGAAGGTGTTCGAGAGACTGGTCGTGGCTCGGCTTGATAAGCGAGTAAGAATTATGAGATCTTGCCGTTTCGTTTCAGGGAAGGACATGGCGCCATAGAACAGGTCCACGGGGTGTTTAACCATATCCTAGCTACATATGACAACAGCGATTATTGTAATGTTGTTTTATTTACCTGCAACAGGCTTTTGATCGTGTTTGACTTACTGGGCTGTTGGCCAAGATTAAACGTGTCCGCAAGAGTATCTCCGACTCAATTTAACTCAATCCAACGAAGTGTCGGAACGTTTGCTTTCCGTAGAGAAGAAGAGTGACACCTTCCTGTCACACTAAACGTTGAGGTGCTGCAGCGTTGAACCAAAGAGTGCGACTGGTACGGCCTCAGTTCCATGCTGCACCATGACCTAAATCTGAAGACCGCAGAGTTCCATATAAGCCGGCACATCAGTCGGTATAATGCAAGGTTGCGAACGAGCTGCAGTAGACTTGGCATCAACTAAGCCAAATAATAAATGTTTTCGCTTTAAATTTATATAAAGTAATATAAAAATGTAAAACTTTGGTCTCCTATATGTATGTTAAATTGTACGTTATGCAGGTCAAAATTGGAGAACTATTGTTTTATACATGTTTACATAATGATTTCATTATCTTTAATTAATAATATTTTTATTTCTTTATTTTTGCAGATAAATAGTGTTGGATCTTCTGATGTTCGTGTATTTACGTTGTATTCTCAGTTGGCTCAAGGAAAACAACTGGAATGTTTTTTGCCAGTTCCTCTAAATACTCGGAAAATTGTAATAGCTACAAATATTGCGGAAACATCAATTACCATTCCTGGAATACGTTGCGTCATTGACTGTGGGTTTGTTAAAGAAAAGTCATACAGCCCTACTTCCGGTCTAGATATTTTGCAAACTGTTCGTATATCAAAAGCACAAGCCTGGCAAAGAAGTGGTCGTGCAGGTCGAGATGCTCCGGGGACCTGTTATCGTACATATACTAAGGAAGAAATGTTATCATTCGAAAATTCAGCTGAACCAGAAATTCTAAGAGCTAATCTGACCTCTACAACTCTACAACTCTTAGCGTTGGGAATCAACATACAAGACTTTAACTTATTAGATTCACCAAATGTGAAATGTATTAGTAATGCTTATACCACATTAGAAAACCTTGGTGCTATTAAAAGTGCGAAATTGCCCAATATCACAAGTTTGGGTCGATTAATGTCTCAGTTTCCACTAGACCCAAAGTACTCTAAGTTGTTGTTATCAGCGCCAACTTTTGGCTGCATGGAGGAAATGCTGAGCTTGGTTGCCGTTCTATCAACCGAAAATATATATGTGAATCCCCCAGACAAAATGGAATTAGCCACATTGGCGCATGCGAAATTTAAATCAAAATATGGCGATCATCTTACTCTTCTAAACATCTATAAGTGTTTTGAAAAAACAGAAAAAACAAAGGTAAATATATATATATATATTCTTGATTTCAGATTTTGTCGCATGTTTTTATATCACATTAGTACTTACTGGAAGTACTTACCAAAATTTATTTCGAAATTCCGAGAATTACGGAAGTTATAAGAAAAAACACAATTGCGGGGGAGTGGGGGGGGGGGGGGTGTATCAGAAAAAATAAACAAACTCGATCTGCCTAGGGCTTATAGGAACCTTGATACCAATTTTGGTTATCCTAGCTCTTGTACTTACTGAGATCCTTGCGCTCATACAGACAGACAGACGGACAGACAGACAGACAGACGGACATGGCTATATCGACTCGTCTTGTCATCCTGATCAAAAATATATATACTTTGTGGGGTCTGCCACGCCTCTTTCTGCCTGTTACATACATTCGCACAAAACTAGTATACCCTTTCACCCTTTGGGTACAGGGTATAAAAAGAGCGTTTTTCAATACCTTACCACATACATATTAGTCAACATCATAAAACACGATAAAGTTAGCTTTAATATTATATGTAGTATTCGAATTGCCGCTCATGGTGATTATTTCATGCTCTCCAAATTTTTCGCAAACACATTTTTGTAAATAATTTGGTATTCATATGCCTTTTCTTCTTTTTCAGCTGTGGTGTCACGATAATTTTTTAAATATACGAAATCTTATATATGCACGTAATGTGCGTTGCCAACTATTAGAAATTAGCACAAAATTGGGACTCTCTTTTAACAGCTGTGGGGAAAACTTGGATTCTGTGAGAAAGTGCCTTATAACTGGTTTATTTGGCAATATTGCCGTACTTCAAAAAGACGGTGAATATCTTACAATTACTGGTCGCCATAGAGCAAAAATTCACCCATCTAGTGTTTTACATGGATCTTATAAGCCAAAATGTGTCATATTTGCAGAAATGGTACTTACTGGTCGTAACTTTCTACGCCAAGTCGTTGAAATAAATTCTGAATGGGTAGAGGATGTTGTACCTTTTATTAAAGATCTAAGCTACATAAATATTGAAAAATAAAAAATTAAAATGAAAATGGTAAATATGTATATATTTTTTCAAGTCTTTTGTTAGTTTATTGCAACTACGTAAGTATAAGTATAAAAAACTCGATTATATCATAATTTTAGGTCTGAAAATATTAGATTGATATTGTTAATGCATTTGAAATAGCTAATAGCTGGAAAAATATACACATACAACTAATATCAGAAGATTTAGCGGTATATTTTGTGGACCTGGAATTTGTATATGAATCAACTGAAAGCAAAGAAAACAAAGAAATGATTATTAGAAATTATATGAGGAATTATAAAATAGTATGTTTTATTTATTACCCATAGGAGCATTTTTTCTTTCTTGATAAGGCACTGAAGTCGTGTAGTTTTTATTTTGCATGTCTTTGAGTTCTTCGTTCAATATTATTTCAAATATCCAATTGAAATACGGAAGAACTGATATAAACTGCAACTCATTTCCTTGCCGCAGTCTAAAATCTGAGAATATTCCTATTAATTTGCTATCACATGTTAAGCCAAATCCCTTATATCTCTCCGGATCTAAAATCGACTATAAAAAAAAGTAAGTTAGTATATTAGAATTGAATCGGATTAAGTACATAAATCCAATAGCTGATTAATTGACATTGTCGCAGAAAATTTGTACATTTTGCTAAAATGAATTTAGCAGATTTTTAGTTCATTTGAATAATAGATTATGTACACACTTATTACACCTATTATATGTAAACACTTTTGAATAAACTGACTTGTAGTTTAGAAACGAAGAAGAACAGACGTGTTGGTGGAAGCCCGGTGCAAATTTAATTAAAATAACTACTGCCGCAGTAACAGACATATACAGAATAATAAGACCGGCACTAATCCGCTTCTAATTAGTCATACTAATCACTATTGTATTATGTAGTATATAAGAAATTAAATGGGTAATAATTAAACAAAGGCATGTGAACATTATGGCCGTGGGTCATGTTAGCAAATTTGAGTTCGAAATTCCAAGAATTACGGGAGTTATGAAAAATCACTAATTGCGGGGACAAGGGGAAGATTCCAAAATAAACGTTTTCTGCGTATTCACAGAAGGCATCTTGAAGTAAAATTTGGTGTCCCTAGCTCTTACAGTCTCTGAGATATAAGTGATTATACGAATGGAAAATCGGGAAAACCCCCATAGGTGGGGAAGTAGGGGAAAATCAAAAAACAAAACAAACTTGCACAGCGTACACACATAAGGCATCTTTGTGCAAAATTTGTGTCTCTAGCTCTTGTAGTCTCTAAGTTCCATGTGTTCATACAGGCAGACGGACAGACAGACATAGATCGACTCGTCTTGTCATGCTGATCAAGAATATATATACTTGTGTATATACTTTCAGCTCCCGAAAACCTAATATACTTTTGTACATTTCATATACAGAGCTATGTTAATAATACGTTAAGAGTTCTTGTTGCTGAATTTATATACAAGTAATTTATTTGCGATGTGTAACAATTGTGAAATGGCTTGTATATATTTTATGCTTTATGGCTTTTATCACCTGTCTCTTTCCTGAATCGAAATTAATGCTCCGACAAGATCTCATTAAGTTTTACACGCTCAGCAACCCGAGCCACGATCTGATCTCAAACACCTTTTAAAGTGAAGAGGAGAGACTAACAACCTCCTCTATAAAACAGGGATTGAAAAGAGATTGAACTAGAGCAGCCATTACGTTGCGTTGGGTTACTATAGCTTTTGCCAGGTACTTATAATACCAAAGGCATACGTTCTAGGTTCCAGGGTGATACCTAGCACAATGGCATCAGAACTAACTAAGAAATTAACCTGGTCCTGGATAAGAGGCGACTTTGACGATAGTAGCAATCCAACAGATCACCGACTTAAAAGAATACACAGAAAGAGGCTAAACGCAGACGCTCAAGAATGCCTAACTCCAGTACAATGAGGAACTTTTTCCCACCAGTAAAAAGCATTCATTATGAAGAGCTTATCGAAATCTAACCGTTCCATTCGAAGCCACACGGCAGTTGGCTCCGCAGTGACGAAGAAGGAGACAACGTAGAACCGCAACGTTTCTTGACGTCGCATAAGCATTTGACCGAATCTGGCTAGACGTAGTCCTGTACAAAACCATAGAGATCAGAAGCAACAAGTGGTGAAGCTAAAGTCAGGTGTCCCGACTTTGAAATACTCTGTACATATTTCGTATGTTTTATGTTATCTATACTAATATTATAAAGAGGAAAGATTTGATTGATTGTTTGTTTGAATTGTAAAGACTCCGAATCTACTGGACTGATTTAATGGATTCTTTCACTGTTGGGAAGCTACACTATCGACGGTTAACATGGGCTATATTATATTTGCAAAAAAGAATGGAATCCTTACTAAAACGCCAATAATGTAACCAAAGGTATAAAAAACGTTGCTTAAACAAGTAGAGAAGCTAAAGTCGGGCGTCCCGACTTTGAAATACTCTGTACATATGTGTAGAATAATTATGCGTGTATGTGTGTATTTGTGTATGTCTCGTGCGCCTGAACAAAGCAGTAACAACTACAACAGCTGCGGGCACTACTTGGTCTTATGTACATATATGGCTATAACTTCCTGGTAATTCGGCCTATCATGATGAAACTTAGCATTTGGACTTATAATAACTAAATGGAGGTTGAAATTCCAAGAATTAAGGGAGTTACGATTTGTGGTGGAGAGGGGGAAAGAGGGAAATTCCAAAATATACATTTTCTACGTACAAGTATTCACATAAGGCTCTGAGATCCAGGTGTTCATACGGACAGACTGACAGACAGACAGAGCTAGATCGACTCGTCTCGTCATGCTATATATACTTTGTGGGGTCTGCCTCGCCTCCTTCTGCCTGTTACATTTTCAGCTCCCGCAAACCTAATATGTACAGAGTATAAAAACTCCTGAATTGCATGCTGTTTATTCATAATCATCCTTGAAACATTGTCAGTTTAATTTTGATTAATATTGAAGACATTGAAATTCACTAAACTCTTCTGGACTGCCGACACATGAATGGACGGTAAAATTCGGAATTGCAAACATTCTTTTGAGAAATTAAAGCCTTCCAAGCATGTGCAATGGGACGAGGCTGCTTATTAAGGAATTGCAGTACAATTTAAATGTAGCAACTATTGTCAATGGCCCAGCAACTGGTCAACTAGCTCATATACGATGATCCCATTTGATCATTTATATGGCTTCAATTTCCGGTAGTCCCAAGGCCAAGCGTTTTACGGTATGTGACCAATCACGGGTCGGAGCTCCTCAAAATCAATTTATTTTGCTACCACAAAATAAAACATCAAATATGTTTTACAGAGAACCTCTGACCTAATAGCATAACAAAAAATTTAAAAACGAACAAAAAATCATTAAAATAATAATATTCAAAATAAAGTTCATTCCTTCTTAGTAACTCATAGCCAAAAGGGTGTATGTGTGTTATAAAAGGTATACTTTTTAAAAATACCCGTGTGAAGCAGGGGCAGGAAGCTAGTAACATGTTTATTGACAGATATTTGTCAGGACAAATAAATATAATATCCATAATATCTAGCAAACGGCAAATAGTCTGCCATCTAAAAGTTGTGGAGACAGGGCTAGCAGACTGGCGCATACATAAAGCCTATTTCGACGTACGGCTTCCAGTTATGGGGAAATTCTTGGGAACAATCAATACCATCTGCGACCCGTGGGAAATTTTTCTGATGGGGACCTATCAGTAAAAATCTTCACGTTGTACTCAGTTCAGTTTTAATAAACTTTGAGATTTTCAGCGTATACGTATGTAGTCCCCACGCTTACCCAATGCGTATTGGAGACTTTACATTCATCCATAGAACATAGTATATCAATGGATTCATCACCTATTCGCTAGCTTTTCGGTGAAGGAACAACATCGTAAGAAAAACCTGCATACATTTTCAATGAAATAAAAATAATTAAATTTCAATAAGATATTAAGAAAAATTTTTTTCGATCTTTCTGTTCCGCAAAAGTTTTTATAACAAAGATTGGGCCATAGAATTTTCAATTGACAGAATAGCTAAATTACATAACCTGTCTTGTCTCATAGGTCAATTTTAGTTTTGAAAATGATCGTTCAGCACTAGCTGTAGTCACAGAAATTGTAAGAAATAACATTATTTCGGTGCATACTTCAGGAAAGTTGCAGGACATTACTTGTATTAATAAATCAGAAAGGTCTTTAAAACAAGATTTATCTATTTTGTCTCTGAAAGTGGATCTAAAACTGAGAATCAAAAAATTCTAGAGCTATTTTTAATAGATCAGTGCCATGTAAAACTTTTAAAGTGGAAGGTTGCAAAACACTAACATTTGAAACCATTTCATTCATTGGAAGGAAACATTTCAGTTGGTTTATAATGATGTCCAATGCTCGATAAAAATATGTTCTTTGAACAAACTTTCCGGATCTTGGAGACGCTCATCTTCGTAAAGCTCATCAAAATGGCATTTTACCTTGCTCTGTCGAGTTTAAGAAATTTCAGGGGTGATGGACCATAGTTTTACATTTTAAGGCATTTGAATGATCGATGGGTTTAGACTGTATCGAAGTAAGTAGGATCTTGCAATGGAAAACCAATATCATAATACAATTTTAGTTTTCGATCTTCTTTTTGAGTGAAACAGCTTCATTTTTTTCATTTGATAGGCAATTTAACTGAACTGTTTTCGTTAGTGTTTTTTGGACTTCAACAAACCGATCTTTTAAAGGCAAAACGGTATCATAACGTGCTGCCCATCTAGTAGGGCTTAATGTTTTTAATGTTATTGAAGTTGAAGACTCTCTTTATTAGATATAGAACTTGATAAAATACGCTCCCACATAAACATTTTCAGGAACTAGACATTTAACTTCAACTAATTTTCACAATCAACTTTACTTTGCAACCATTTTCATATTCAATAAAAGAACAACTACGACAAATCAAAGATACAAATTACCAATTGTCACAATAATCACACAAAGAATACACAGTCAGTAGAGCCCTCAAAAAAAATCAAATACGGAATTCCCCTAACATAATGTTGCTAGCTTGCCCCAGTAGCAGCGGTGAAAACTAAATGGGGAATTCCTCAATCGTCAATGCTCACACGCAGTGCCAACGTACCGCCACAAAATATGTAGATGCCAATGGATGCGTTCTAAAATGAATAGAGATGTGCAATTACCGGTATTTTGATTGACGATTTTTTGACGGTCATAAGAACGTAAATTTACTCGTCACGGGTAACGTGTACATCTCTAAAAATGAATCAACATCATTTTGTTTAGGATGGTTGAAATGCTTAACGATTAACTTGAAATTGTATTATGGTCTTTAGTTGCCTCACTTTGGATTTTAAGCAGAACTTATCAGAATTTACTTTTAAAATAAAACAAGAAAAAAGCTAAAGTCGGTTGTTCCGACTTTGAAATACTCTGACACTAAGGTACATACATATATGCGCCCATAGCAGAAGCAAAAAGAGGAAGAAGAAGAGCTAACTTGTTGCTGCAGTTTGTGGGGGGGGGGTTGCACTGGAGAGAATTTGTTTCGCTAATAATAATAATAACAACAGTAGATAATTATATATAAATTATGTGTGCAAAGTTTGGTTTAGGTAGCATTTGAAATGTGGACGCTATTGACGAATTGAATTCTGTAGCGGGGGCAGGGGGGAAAATTCAAAAAAATAAAATAAACTCGTCCTTTCTCGGACATTGGAGAATCTGGATACCAACTTTGGTTATTGTAGCTTTTATAATTTCTGAGATCCTTGCGCTCATCCAGACAGACGGACGGACATGTCTAGATCGATTTCTCTCGTCACGCTGATTCAGAATATATGTACATATATACTTTATGGGAGCGGAGGTGCATGTTACATACGTTGCACAAACCTAATATACCCTTTTTACCCTACGGGAACAGGGTATAAAAAATTGATCGATTTTACCTCTCTGGGTATTCGAACTCACGTAAAGGGTGTATAATTGCACATTTACATAGCAATTGCGTCTATGTGAGTGTATGTATGTTTATGCGCTTCTATTCGTGTCTGTGTAAGCATGTGTAAGCGAATATATTTATGGCTATAACTTCTTGTTAAATCGGTCTATCATGATGAAAATTGGCATACGGACACATACGGTATTTCCCAAATTTGAGTTCGAAATTCCAAGAATTACGTTAAATATATTGCACAAGCTTAATATACCTTCAGCGTTCAGCACGCCAATTTGACGTTTCTTAAATATATTTTAGGGCAACCCTTATGTAAAGTACTTAAGTTGGTCTCTTTTAGATCTACAATACATTTTTCTATATTCTGTGCTGGATCCGCCAAAATTATCCATTGCAGATCATTTCTATAGGATAAAGGAAGCGGAGTTTCCAATTTCATAAGCGCAATATTATGTTCCCATGTCAATAAATTAAATTTATGAAAAATATGAACGGTATCAACGCGATATATAGTTTCATTTGTTGCCACTTCTGAAAAAGTAATAACTTTCTCATAATTCAAGTAGCTTATTACGTTTGAAGATTCAACGTCATTTATCAAACATGATGCAGTTGTTAAAATAACATGGCTTTGTAAAATAGTTCCGTAGCAAAGAATTTCAAAATGACCACTTTTTTCATTAAAAATGTTTATAAACACTTGATAGGAAACCCTCGTTAAAAATTCTGTATTTGCTTGCATATAATGAGGCAACAAAAATAATGACATAATAAAAACACTGAGCATATTTTAAAAATATTTGTATGAAAAAAAGTTTTACAAATTTTGATTCAGTTAAACTCTTATAATATTGATTGTGTAAATGTTCACATATCCCTTAAAACAGGTAAAAAACATAACTTGTGCCTGAAGAGCTTTGTTAAAACATTTTAAACATATAATTAGCATACATATATAAAGAACGTGGGCCAAAGACAATTTGTTATCTTTGATATTTATCAAAAAGTATAAGGGTGAGTCACAAACTAAATTTATTTAAACAAGATAAAAAACAACGATTAACAGTATATAAGTTACCATTGGAACGAATATTAAATATCTATTCAAGGGTAATTGTAGGCTTTTTAGGGAAGAATAAAAACATATGTATGTTTTTATACGCTGGTACAACTAGGTAAGTTGTGTGCTGTGTACTAGTTTTGTGCGAATGTATGTATGTAACACATAGAAGGAGGCGTGGCAGTCCGCAAAGAGTATAAATGTTCTTGATCAGGGTGATAAAGCGAGTCAATATAGCCATATCAGTATGCCCGCCTGTCTGTATCAACGCAAGGATCTTAGAAAGTATAAGTATAACCACACTTGTATATATATTCTTGATTTTTATTACAGTCGATCTAGCCCTGTCTGTCTGTCCGTATGAACACCTGGATCTCAGAGACTTTGACAGCTAGAGACACCAAATTTTGCACAAAGATGCCTTATGTGTGTGCGCTGTGCAAGCTTGTTTTATTTTTTGATTTCCCCCCACTTCACACCTATGGGGGTTTTCCCGAGTTGTCCCCAACTGTTAGACATGCATTTTATGTTGTTTGTTCTGCCTGCATTCATAAAGCGAAACACTTATTTCTATATTTTGAAAATCCTTGAATGCAAAGTTGTATATTTAGTTACGTAGATTACATTACCCAAATTTGAAATCGATCGGACAAAATTTATAACACAAACTTTTCACTGAAAAAGTGAATAAATATTAAAACCACAAAAATTCAAGCTCCACCACAAATTTTGAAAATTCGAGTATGTAGTTTTTTTTGCATTTTGTTATAGATTATAAAAATTAAATTTAAAAATGGTTGGTGGAAAAACGTGGATTTTTCAAACAATCTTTTGAGCTCGTTTTGCCCCACTTGGAGCTCAAATTTACCAAAATCTTCATAGTACTTGAGATCAAAATTCAGCTTCCTAGCTCTTACCGCTTGGGCTGTGAGGTGTTGATTGTGTTCAATTTTTCCACAGGAACCCCCCTCTCTCATGCCCCAGGAAAAATGGTAAAAAAGAATGCAGTGTTTTTTAAATTTAGATTACGCAAACCCAGTTTGAAGCCAATCAAATGTAAATTGCAGATTTTTCATACAATCTTTGGAGCCCGTTTTCGAATGGCATTCGAATTATTCAAAATTGCTTCTTACTCACCATAAAAGACAACTTTTTTCTAAATTTCAGCTTCCTAGTTCTTACCGTTTGGGATGTGCGTTGATTGCACGTAGTTTTTCGAGTCCCTATTTTTCTACGGGAAAATCCCTATAATTCTGGCAGTAGCAAAGTATACAGTTTTTCTTGTATTCTTTATGAGCAAACTAAGATTGAAGTTAATTGGATGAAAATTGAAGATTTTTATTTTATTATATATATTTTACTAAGTGATCATTCCGGTGATTTACCATATAGCTGAAGGCAGCAGTCTATTTTGGATAAAATCATGAATTTTACTATATTTATTAGTGTATTGGTGTGGTAATTAAATCTTTTGCTTTATAAGCTTTATTGCTTAGTCGTTTTGATAGCTATAGTGTGAGATTTTCTATGTGTTGGTTCCATCTGTAGTTGCTGTTGAATGTGACTCCGAGTATTTTAAAGGAGCCCTCAGTTTTTAATGTAAAACTGTTGGATTGTAGTTGAAAAGTGCATCCTTTTTCCGGTAGATATGGGTGTGTTTTCATTTAGGTATTGAGAGTGATGCACCTGAGTAGTTGCACCACTCTATAATGTCTACTATAAGATTGTCAATTTTGAGTGCGTATTGCTTCTATTAGTTTTTGAACGTAGGGTGACTGATTTTTAGTTGATTAATGACAGCTTTCAGTTCTAGGAGAGAAACATCGTCTTCTAGCTTCATGGCTATAAGTGATGGGGATTGCGTTATTGTACGGCAGGAGTTCCTTTTGTGGGGTCTAAATATTGGGTGAAAGTTGTTGTCTGAGGCTGCGGTTGACCAATGGTCACATAGGGTGTTGGCTATTTCAATTTTTTTGACTATTGTTTGTGTGGGGTTGTTATAATTTACTAGGCAATGGATATCATGACGAGTGCTTAGGTCGCAAAATCTGTTGATATTGGACCAAGTTCTAGGTGTAGAAGTGCATGGGTTTATTTCTGCTGTGAAATATTGCAGCGCTTCTCGTTTTTATACTCTACATGAAATGCACAAGACTATTTTAGTTCTGCTGGAGCTGAAAAATGTGACATGTAGAAGCAGGCGTGGCAGACCCCACAAAGTGTATATATTCTTGAACAGCACGACAAGACGAGTCGATCTATGTCTGTCTGTCCGTCTGTCCGGCCGTATGAACACCTGGAACTCAGATACTTTAAGAGCTAGAGAAAAATTTGCACAAAGATGCCTTCTGTGTGTACGCTATACGTTTTATTTTTTTTTGATAATTGCTGCCCAAGCGCTGCTCGCAGCTGTTCTTGATGAAGCACCAGCATCCAGCATGGTTGACTGCAAACATGTTCACACAGACACGAATAGACGCGCAGAGACATACATACACTCATACACTCACATAGGCGCAATTGCTTTTGAAATGTGCAATTATACACCATTTACGTGAGTTCGAATACCGAGAGAGGTGAAGTAGTTTTTTTTTTTTAATTTCTATAGTTATTCTACACATATGTATGTACAGAGTAGTTCAAAGTCGGGACACCCGAATTTAGCTTTTTTACTTGTATAATATGAAGTTCTCGCTTGAGTTTGGCATTACCTCTTTTGTAGGTGAGGATGTTTTCTGTGCTAATGTTTCTTTTAAGATTAGGCCAAGCTGCGTTTTTCTTATTTTTCAACTGTCGTGTGATTTTTCTGTGTCTGTGGGATGTGCACTTTGTAAGATTATATATGCGCTTGAAGGAGGGTGTACTTGAGCTATTTTCCTGGAATAATTTTAGATGGATTCAGAAGTGGTCGCTAATTAGGAGTAATAAGAGAAGTTTAGTTGATGAATTTGTGAAGTGTATTATCTCTGGTGTTGTTTTTTTGCGAGCCCCAGTGTCTGTGCCAGCTATTGAAATCTCCTATGGTGGTCTGATGTTACTAAAGATATTTCTGATGTCTTTTTTTGAGATAGGTTTATTTGGTGGAATGTATGATGAGATTATAGTGAACTTTATTTTGGAATGTATTGTCTGAAGTCTGAATTGTTGATGTTAATTTGTTCTCGTTCTATGGTGTTGTGTACCAGAAGGGCCAATTCCCTGTATCCGTTCGCCGATGAGTTTCTGAGATAGAGTGTATAATTAATTGGGATGGGTATGTTTTGTGTAGAGTACATGTGTGTTTCTTGTAAGAAAACAAGAGAGAACACTACATTACTAATTTATTTAATACTAGCAGGTATTGCCCGTCTTAACCCGGCTCAATATAATGTTTCCAATTGTATTTATTTTGTGTGTGCATAACCTACCCATATGTTTTCACCTTATAAGTTACCAGTAGGAAGGCATTTAAGGTATTTAAATGAACATTTTCTGTTCTTGACAAAAAATTGTTCAGTAGTCCGTTACATTTTTGTTCTTGCCAAACTATTTCGTTAAACGAACATGACCACTATAACTAATATTTTTTAAAGCTCGTTTTCCCCCCTTTGGAGCTAGAATTTTCCAAAAGCCTTTCTTAGTGTGCTCCTACACTATGATGGATATTATGAAAGGATACTTGAGTCCAAATTTCATCTTTTACCGTTTGGGCTGTGCGTTGATCACCAATTAGTCAGGACAAACTGTTTTATATATAGAGATAAAGCAACGTTTTAAGATAGACTATGTGCAAAAAAGGGGAATAATTATAAGGGTATATCCTAATTTTAAATTCACATTTGAGTCTTTTCGTGCCATATTGAGTCAATACGGTCACGCACAAACTCGGAATATGAAACTCGGCACTCGTGTCAGTGCCGTGCAGCGATGAGCCACGATCGAAAAGCACTGACAATTCTCATCTCAATTTGCTAGATTAAAACTTTCGATAGTTGAAGCTACCGATACCATCAAAATATCGAAGATCGAATGCAATAAACAGAATATTTAAATAATAAAATCTAATTATTTATTGAGATCAATAAGAACAAATCATACATACATACATCTGCCCGCAATGCGAAGCAGAATATGCGTAGCTCCGTTATTCGGTTTCTGCTTTACTATCGCTTACGCAGTCGTTGCTTAGCGACGGTAACTGTAAACTTTTGGCGTTTTGCCTTTGCAATTAACATTAAATGGTCAAAACGAAAGAAGATGTGCGAGCCAAGAACTTGAAGTTGTTGTTGTTGATTTGTATGTACATGCTGCATACATATACAGGCATACATACATACATATGCTTGTATGGTACATATGTATGTGTGCATGGGCACACATAGACACGAACTGTTGCTTGTTGTATGTATGTGTGAGTGTGTGTATGTGATGTCCCCAACTATTTGATATTTCATATATGGTAAGTAAAAAACATATTGCTATATTTTAATCGTTGAATGCCAATTTGTTGATATAGTTATGTTGATTACATTACCCAAATTTGAAATCGATCGGACAAAATTTATAACACATTTGACCATTCGAAAAAGTGAATAAATATTAAAACCTCAATAATAAAATTAAATGCGATATATCGAAAATATCGATACTTGTGTTGATATATCGTAATACATGTCGAATACAAATACATCGAAAAACATCGTTTGGGAGTTATTGATTATAATACTGTATTCGATTGTTCACTGTACACATACATACATACAAATGCATTTGTATGTGTACGGTAACTGTAAACTTTTGGCATGCAATTAACAGCCGAAAATGATCAAAACGAAGGAAGATTTGCGAGCCAATAACTTGTTGTTGTTGTTTTAAAAATTTTGATTTGAAACCATAGAACACTATTTATTACAATTAAACAACAGTGTTCGATGGCCCACAGCATACATACAAACCTATATATGTATATAAGAATGTATGTACGTACATACATACTTATTGATGTACATATGTACATACTATACATACGGACGTATGTACATACATATGTATGTACGTATGTAATACACATGGTGCTGGTGTAATTCATAATGCGAAATTCTTTCTAAGGGGAGCAATGTCCCCCCTGCCCAACCTGCGTACGCCCTTGTAGTCCGTTGACCTAAAATCCCTTATGCCAAATGTACTAAACAAAGAAAAAATAACATAAAAATGTTTATGTTATAATGTTAATAATTTTTAATTAATTAACATTTCTTGCTCTGTCAGTGCAAGACGAATGTACTTTTGTACATATGTATGTATGTATGTACATACATGTGTACAAATGAACATTCACACATTAGTGTCTCACATTTGTATGTACATACTTTTGTACATATGTATGTATGTATGTACATACATGTGTACAAATGAACATTCACACATTAGTGTCTCACATTTTGCTTTGGCTACTTCAACCACGCACTACACGAACAGCTGCTTGTATGTATGTGTGTGTGTGTGTATGTATACTTAGTTGTCCCCAACTGTTTGATATTTTGTATTGTTTGTTCTGCCTGCATTTGTAAAATGCATATTTTAAAAATCGTTAAATGCAAAGTTGTAATTTTAGTTACGTAGATTATATTACCCAAATTTAAAAGCGATCGGACAAAATTTATAACACAAACTTTTCATTTGAAAAAATGAATAAATATTAAAACCCCAATAATTCAAGCTCCAACACAAATTTCGAAAAACCGAGTATGCAGTTTTGTTTGTATTCTTTTATAGATTATAAAAACCAAATTTAAAGTTGATCGATTCAGAAATGCAGAATTTTCAAACAAACTTTGGAGCTACTTTTCCCCCCTTTGGAGCTCGAATTTTCCAAAATTCCTTCTTATTGCGCATCTACACCATGATAGGATACTTGAGCCCAAATTTCAGTTTCTTAGCTTTTACCGTTTGGGCTGTGGGGTGTTGATTGTGTTTCAATTTTTCCACGGAAAACCCCCCTTTTTTCATGCCCCAGGAAAAATGGTGAAAAACCAAGTATACAGTTTTTTTTGTATTCTTTTTGAGAGTATACACTCTAATTTTGAAGTTAATTGGATGAAAATTGTAGATTTTTCATACAAACGTTGGAGCCCGTTTTCCCCCCTTGGCGTTCGAATTTTCCAAAACCGCTTCTTAGTGCTCACCTACACCACTGAAGACAACATGTGTCCAATTTTCAGCCTCCTAGCTCTAACCGTTTGGGCTGTGCGTTGATTGCACATAGCTTTTCGTTTACCGAATTTTCCACCGGAAAATCATTATTATTCAGGCCGCAGGAAAAATATTGAAAATCCAAGTATACAGTTTTTTTTGTATCTTTGTGAGAATATACAAACTAAGTTTGCAGTTAATCGGATAAAAATTGTAGATTTTTCATACAAACGTTGGAGCTCGTTTTCCCCCCTTTGGAGCTCGAATTTTCCGAAACCCCTTCTTAGTGCTCACTTTCACTATAAGAGGGATCTTGTGTCCAAATTTCAGCTTCCTAGCTCTTACCGTTTGGGCTGTGCGTTGATTGCCAATCAGTCAGTCAGTCAGTCAGGACAAACTGTTTTATATATATAGAGACATACATAGATTCCGTCCGTCAGTCTGTCCATCTGTCCGTATGAACACCTGGATCTCAGAGACTATAAGAGGTAGAGATACCAAACTTTACACAAAGTTGCGCTATGTGTGTACGCTGTGGAAGTTTGTTTTAATTTCGTGATTTCCCCCTCCCCCCACCCCTCCCCCACTTCACCCCTATGGGGGTTTACCCGATTTTCCATTCGTATAATCGCCTATATCTCAGAGACTATAAGACCTAGGAACACAACATTTTAGTCCAAGATGTCTTTTGTGAATATGCAGAAAATTTGCATTTTTGAATTTCCCTCCCTCCCCCCTCTCCCCCGCAATCCATAACTTCCGTATTTCCAGTTTGTGATTATAAGTCCAAATGCCAAGTTTCATAATGATAAGCCGATTTAACAGGAAGTTATAGCCATATATGTACATAAGACCAAGCAGTGCCAGCAGCTGTTGTAGTTGTTACTGCTTTGCTCATGCACACGAGACATACACAGAAATAATTATTTTAAACATATGTACAGAGTATTTCAAAGTCGGGACACCCGACATTAGCTTTTTTACTTGTTTTTTTTTGTGGGGTGATACAGGGTATTTAAGAGTTGAGCCCGCACGACTTTAGCATTCCTTTCTTGTTTTATACTACCGACGAACACTCACTGTCCACATACTCTTGCAACTTTACTCCAGCAACTCTCTCGAGCAACTCCGTCAAGCACTTGCCTTTTGGGGTGCTACAAATGCTGTGACTTCTCTCATAAGACACAAATCACAACCAGTATCAACCATCGCTAAAAACTGCCTGTCCTTGATGACAAACTGTTTATAGGCTAGGTCCATTCTCACTGCTTCGAAATCGGCAAGTGCAGTTTCCTCTTTTTTAACTTTTTGCCTAAAATTTTTGGTGATGTGGCCAGACTTGTTGCATCATTATAGCATGTTGACGGTTCCTAACATTCCCTTGCCTGATGACCTTCTTTATTGCATGTAAAACACTTCCTTGTATTTTGTTCCTGTCCTTTTTTCATAACAATTTCTTTGCTACCATCTACGATCTTTTCGTGGAGCTGGAATTCCTCTTTTAAATCTTTTATAGTTTTGCAACGATAAAGACTTGCCTTATTGGATATGGTGGCTGGCAGCCCATCCGCAAAGTAAAAGATCAAGCTATCATCCTCAAGCTGAATTAGTTTTCTCATTTCAATCTGTTTTTGGTTTCAGTCATAAAGTTAACCTGAGACCATGAATGCAGTGACGCTCTACCAAGCTTGTATTTACCTGGTGAATCTTTGACCAACACCATAGCAGTTGCCAAGAGAATCTGATCACCAGGAGCAAAAAAATTCTTGTGAGAATGTGATGCAGCTTGCACTTGGTGAAACACGTTATTTGGTGTAGCTAATGCTTGCGTGAGCGATGTGTGCGAATGTTGCGTCAGTCTGTAGGTAGAAGAGTTGTGTGAAATCGGGGCACGCTAACACCGGCGCTTCCATCTTTGGATACAATCAAATGCCTCCTGCTGCGGTGTTCCCCAACTCCACTTGTGGCCTTTCTTTGTGGCGAAATTGGGTACAAAGCGGCGGTACCACGAGGCCATCCGGATGTACTGCCGCAGCTGTTTTAGGTTGGCCGGGGGCTTCAGTTCCGTCTATACCCCGTCTTCTGTCACCAGGTGCCCCAGGTAGCGTATGGACCTGCGAAAAAACTCACACTTATCTTGATTTACCCGTAGGTTTGCCGCTCTCAGTCTTCGAAACACCTCCCTCAGGTTACATAGGTGTTCTTCGAATGTCTTCCCAACCACAACTATGTCGTCCAGATAGGCAAACGCGTGTGGAGCCATATCCGGGCCGATGACGCTATCTAGCGCCCGCTGGAAGGTGGCTGGGGCGGAGTGCAGGCCAAATGACATCACTCGCCATTGGAAAAGGCCCCGTCCGGGCACTGTGAAGGCGGTGTATTTACGGCTCTCGGGCTCCATGGGGATCTGCCAATAGCCGTTTCGCAAGTCGATGCTGCTGATGTACTTTGCCTGTCGTAACTGTTCGAGAATATGTTGGATCCTCGGAATGGGGTATGCGTCTGGCTCCGAGCGCTCGTTCAGCTGGCGGTAGTCGATGCACATTCGCCACGCCCCATTCTTCTTGCGTACCAGGACTATGGGCGCGCTGTACGCGCTATCGGACCGCTCAATGCAGCCCTTCGCCAGCAACTCGTCAACCTCGTTGTCAATCACCGCTTGCATCGCCGGATTCCTCGGATAGTAGCGCTGTTTAATGGGTCTGTCGTCTTTCACGCGGATCGTGTGTGTCGTCGCCGATGACACGCCCACAATGTTCTCAAAGCGTGGTAATTCCTCCTGAAGGAACGTGGCAGCCTGAGCAGCCTGCTCATCTGTCAGCGTAGCCGCCGATGGAGCAATTGGCTCTGTGGTCACCAATGCCGCACATCGTACTCTGCGGCGCGCCTGACGCCTTCTCCGCCGTCGTCGCTCACGCACATCTCGCATCTCCAGCTTGTGGCTGCCGGCGGTGAGCGTACCATAGGCCTTGCTGATAAAATCCAGCCCTAGTGAGAGCTCGTCCTCGCAGCCCGGCAGTGTCAACAGTGGTACCGAGATGCATTTGTCGTCCACTGTTATCGCCGTCATCGTCTCCTCGCAAACAGTTTGTCGCGAGCCGTTGGCCATCGACATCGACACCTCTACACTCCGTACATTCTCCCCACCTGGCTTTCTCAAGCGTCGTGCCAGCGCCGGGCTCACGAAGCTGCGAGTGGCTCCCGTATTCACCACCGCAATCCACCCTCAACAGCATCACTCGCGAGCGTTCTGCCACTAGTTTTCCTGCGTGGGCTCGCCTATTGGCTGTATGTGGCGAGCCCCCCTGGCGTTTCCCGCTCTGCGGCGACAGCATTCGTTCGCTCGTATGCCCAGCCTACCGCAATCCCAGCAGTATAGTTGTTGTTGGTTTGGGCAGCATTCGTTGTCGTGCCCCGCCATACCACAGCGTTAGCAAGACCGCCCCTGGTGTGCCGACGAGCTCTGCATCTCGGGCCCGGTTGCTGTTGTTCGTGCGGGTGTAGTCTGTAAAGGGACAAAGTCTCGCCTGTTTAACTCACCACCAGAAATGGGCTGCGTATCCGTTGGCTCCGGACGTCGGATCGGGAACCCCCGTGGGCCCATGAACGCTGGCTGGGATGGCCCTGCCCCAATGGTACAGGCCGGAACCAGGCCCAACTCCTCCAGTTCTGCTGCTTGCCGTTTGAATTCTGCCACAGTATGGACATCCTGATGTCGTATCCTGATGTTGATCGCTGGTCGGCTGTTGCGGTAGATGAGCCTCAGCTGCTCCTCTCCGGGCATGTCTGCATCGAGCATCAATTCCAGCATCGCTTGGACGTAGGTCGCCGTGGACTCCGACTCACCCTGAAAGCGTCGTTGCGCATTCTGTCGCCACCGCTCAATGTGAGGAGCGGCCGGGTACGCTTCTAGCAGTTCCGCGCGGAACTCTGCCCACGACTGGGTCGAGTTTCGCCTTGTGCGGTCCCACGTCAGTGCCGCGCCCTCCAGAATGTTTGGTAACATCGGCACCAAACTATCTACCGGCTCCCCACTCACTTCCGCTTTTTCTTCTAGTCTGCGCAAGAATGCCCGTGGGTCCCCGCTGCTGTCGAAATGCACTCCCCACTGTGCCACCTCCGTGCTCAGGGCTCTTCGCTCCGCTCGTGACATTGTCGAGTGGGCCGAACCAGCCGCGGATGCGATTGACACGGCCGGCCCTGCCGTCGAGACCATCGACGGTGTGGCGAGGGTCGTTACCACCGTCGTGGCCACGATCTGGTTCGTGGTCACGCATGGCGCCGCTGGCGCTTCTGTCGTATAGGTGGTGGTGGCGGTCACGGTCACTGGTGCAGCCCCAACTTGATGGTGTCTTGAGATGCTCGGTCGGTTTTCTTGGCGATGCCGCAGCTTCCGTAGGCGGCAGATGCATGCCGGGCGAACCTTCCTCTCGCTTGGGGACCTCCAGTTGTGCCTTCGGCGGTACAGGACTCACCGGACGTGATTCATAGCGGGCCGCTAGCAGTTCTAGGCGTAACTGGTGTTCCGGCCCCGCCGCTTTCACAAACGTGGCGAAGCGTGTTCTCAGCGTTTCCACGGCGCCCGCGTCGTCGATCCCAAACTCCTGCAGCAGCTCCTCTTTCCTCAACGCTCGCACCTAGCTCGTTAGCACCATCACGAGTCAACAGTTCTCGCCTTACGTTTTCCAACTCGCTGCGTGGTCGCGGTCGTGTTTAACCTCACTTTATTTTGGGGTCCTTGCTCGGGCGCCACTTGTAACGTTGCTCTGGCCCGGGTATACTCGTCGGCCAGAGTCGCTGCAAAATTCTTGGTTTGGTCCCCCAGAAATAAAGCGATGCCGCAGTTACCACTCAAATAGGATGATTTATCTTTTATTTCATAAATCTCCAAATAGGAGGGTGCGCTTCAATGCGCGTTCGTTTGCCTCCCCAACAGAACTAACTCCAAAACCTCTCTTTAACTTACAACTACTTACACCTACTTAAAACTACTCATCGGCATCGTGACGACGCGTTGCGTAGCTGGCAGCTGTGCGTCGTTACAATGTATACATTGGACAATCGAGCACTGTTGTTTGATTGTAATAAATAATGTTTTAAGTCAAATTGTTAAAACGAAAAACAACAACAACTGCAAGTCATTGGCTCGCGCTTCTTCTTTCGTTTTGATCATTTACGCCTGTTAATTTCAAAGGCAAAATGTCAAAAGTTTACAGTTACCGTCGCTAGGCAACGACTGCGTAAGCGATAGTAAAGCAGAAACCGAAAGCGGACCTACGCATATTCTTCTTCGCGTTGCGGGCAGATGTAGATATGTATGTTTGTATATGATTTGTTCTAATTGATCTCAATAAATTATAAGATGTTATTATTTAAATTTTCTGTTAATTGCATTCAAACTTCGATGGAATTATTGATTGTATCGATTGATTCATCTATCGATAGTTGTGATGGTCCAGCACATAGAGCATCCGACACATGCCCATCTCTACCATCTCAGCTGATCGCATATTTACAGGGACTTACCGTTTTAGTGTTAGCTAACAACGCTACAAATGTGTTCTGAACAAATCTAAGAGTCATTTATCGTTAAGCCTTTTTTTGAGTGTATTCATGTGATTTACAAAAGCAGAAACACACCTTTTACATTCACAACAATCATATTTGGAATTGAAGACACAAATTAATGCTGAATTAAAAAATTTAATACATACTTCTATATGTATGTATAGAGGCGGATAACGCCTGCATGAAAAATTTAAATGTATGCACATATCAGCGTTGCCGAAAGCTCCAATTTTGGCGGGACGTCCCGATTTATAAATCAAAATTAAATGTCCAGCGTCGGACTTTTCGGGGATAACTCGACCATGTGTACAACGTGCTGAGGAAGCACACAGGACTGGCAGTCCTTCCGGTGCGTAACGAAGATACCTATGTATATATGTATGTATGTACCATACATAGTACTTATTGTACTACATATGCTTTTTGAAAGGTTCAACGAATGAACTCTTTAAAAAACTTTAGAGAGTGTCGAAAGAAGAATATCATATAGTAAATAAACTTATAATTATAATCAAATTTTACTTAGCCCAGCAAAGACGGGCAAGACCTGCTAGTCTTAAAATATGACTCTATTATGCCCAAGCGACATTGCAATTCATCATTGGACTCATCCTTTATTTCAACCAAAGACATTTTGCGAGATACATTACGCTTAATATTACCTCTCTTGGCCTTAAGTTCTTCAATCGACATACTGCTGTGCAATGTAATTGAACAAACGCGAACTAAATTATTCTTAATGCAGCAACCAAAGAAACAATGGTTGGCAGCTTCAACTCACCTGTTTGTGGATAATCGCATGTTGTGAATGTATGTATGTCTATGCGCGTCTACTCGTGTCTGTGTGAACATGTTTGTAGCCAACCACACAGCAACATCAACAACAGCTGCGGGCAGCGCTTGGGCAGCAAATCAAAAAAAATAAAACAAACTTGCACAGCGTACACACATAAGGCATATTTGTACAAAATTTTATGTTTCTAGCTCTTATATTCTCTGACATCCAGGAGACAGGCAGATAGACATAAATCGACTCGTCGTGTCATTTTGATCAAGAATATATATACCTTGTGACGTCTCCTTCTGCCTGTTACATTTTTCATCTCGCGCAAACCTAATTTTTATTTCATGTACAGAATATAACAAGAAAGGAATGCTAAAGTCGAGCAGGCTCATCTCTTATATACCCTGTACCACCCCCACAAAAAAGAAATTAAATTAATGAATTAATTTAATTTAATTAATTAACTAAATTAATTTAATTAATTAACTAAATTAAATATAAAATATTCCATACATGCATACATACATTTACATTTACATCAGAATCGTATCTATGCGTGTTTGTGTACTTGTACATATGTAGGTATGTGTGCATTGGGACTGGTTATGTGGCTATAACTTTCTTTCCGATCATTCTATTATAATGAAACTTGGTATACGGCTATATAATCACTAATGTGACTGCAGCTCTGCTGGCAGCGCTGCCCGCAGCTGTTGTTGTTGTTGCTGCTTTGGTTCAACTTTGTGTTGCATACACGCATAGGCACGTGATGTAAATGTAAAACTGTACATAAACATGTCTTCTATGTATGTATTAAATAAATTTTATTAATTAATTTAATTTAATTTAATTTATTTTAATTCTTTTTTAATATATATATATATATGCGGAAACTAAGTGCTGGTAGGTGATTTAACTGCCGTCATCGGAATTGGGATGCTGCAGGGCGATCTACTGGGGAAATATCTCATAGAAATGCAAGCTTCAAACAACAGCACCTTGCTTTACCCTTTTGAGCACACATACATTCCAGCCCATAGCAGATGTGAACCCTCTACGCTTGACTTTTTTCTAACAAATTGCTCTCAACTCGCATCGAATCCTACTGTTATTCAAGATTTAGGCTCTGATCACTTACCAGTCCATATTTTTCTCCATTCTACCCCTGTTGTCTGCGACTTTTTTCGTTATGATTGTAATAATGCAAACTGGGGTAAATTTGACAATACGGAAAATAATATGTTAGAAAGGATTAACCAAGTTACTGTCCTAAGCTCGGATAGTATTGATAACTTAAAATTTACCTTAAACAATGTTATCTGTGCTGCGAAACACGCCAGCATTCCTCGAAAAAAAGTCAGTTTTTCATCGGAATCCCTTCGTAAAAACATACTATGTTTAATCAAACGCAGAAATAGCCACCCTGACACAGATCTAGACAGAACACCGATTTTGTTCTTTACAAATGGCTAAATTTAATTATTTCTGAAAAAATGTCTGAATTCAGGAATGAATCTGAATAATCTTTGTTGCTGCCCTCACAGCCTGATATTCTGTCAGTTGGACCGCTGCTGGAGCCCCATTTGGCTCTGTTGCCACTAAAGCCGCATACCGTGCTCTTTGGCGCCTCCGACGCTCTCTTCGCCGTCGTTTCTCACGCACACCTCGTAGCTCCAGCTTCTGGCCACCAATGGTGAACGTGCCGTGGGCCTGATTGA